ACCCAATCTGCATTCTCATCGGTCCCACATCCATTCTCGTGCGCCGCACCATCCTCTCGCCCCTTCCTCGATGCGCGATTCCCGCGATGCCCCCGCGCGCTCTCTCTCAGGTACCTGAACATTCCGAACCTGGTGGCGGCGGCGGTGAGCACGGGGTGCACGATGGTGCATCCGGGGTACGGCTTCCTCGCCGAGAACGCCACGTTCGTCGAGATCTGCACCGACCACGGCCTCAACTTCATCGGCCCCAAGGTGCGCCCGCGCGCGATGCTGTGCGGTAGCTCGGGGTGAATAGCGGTGGGAGGTGCTATAGGATTTGAAGGTGCGGTAGGGTGCGGTGAGGTGGCGGGAGCGGGGCCATGATCGCAGGAACGAGTTAGCACGGTTTCAAATGGCATGGCTGTTGTGAAATCTTGAGAAGAGGGTTTTAAAGCAAGGAGTCCATGAATGATGAGCACGGTGACCAACTCCTTCGTCGCTCCCTCGTTCTCTCTGTAATCTTCTCTCCTGTCCTCTCCTGCCATGCGGCTGCAATGCGACTGCTGTATGTATCGCAGCCCAACAGCATTCGCCTGATGGGCGACAAGGCGACGGCGCGCGAAACCATGCGACGAGCCAACGTGCCAACCGTGCCCGGCAGTGAAGGGCTGATCGACGTGAGTACTCACTTGCTCGCACGCACTGTCTCTCACCCGCACACTTACACACGCACTCACATGCACACACACTGACGAACCCGCACATTTACGTGTTACATTTACGCTCACATTCTCCTCCCCCGCCCCTCACCCTCCCCCCGCCCCCATCTCCCCTCTCCCGCCCCTCCTCCCCCTCCCCCCTCCCCCCGTTGGCGCAGATGGTGGAGGAGGCGTTGTCGGTGGCGGACGGCATGGGGTATCCGGTGATGATCAAGGCTACGGCGGGCGGCGGAGGCCGCGGCATGCGCCTCGTGCTCGAGAGGGGGGACTTCGTCAAGCTCTACCAGGTGAGATGGGCCGCATGGCATGACAATGAGCTGTTTACATGAGGTGGAACGAGCACGTTGCTCCTTTCTGAGATATGACGCTCATGCTTTGTGTTTCACACCCGTCGATATATTTGAGGGATCTTAGCTCTTGATCCATCAGTTCGAACGGCTTTCCCCCCTAAATCCTTACGATACGTGCCACCCTTGCCCCCTGTGTGCGTGCGTGGTGAGAGCAGCAAGCGCGGCAGGAGGCGGGGGCGGCGTTCGGCAACGACGGGGTGTACCTGGAGAAGGCTATTGTGCGCCCGCGCCACGTGGAGTTCCAGGTGAGGGTGATTTGCGCTACCGCGGGAAGGTGAGTACCAGGTGAACCTGGAGACCTGGAGAAGGCCATCGTGCGACCTCGCCACGTGGAGTTCTAGGTGAGCGGGATGCAGAGAGGGACTCCGGCCACGTGGAGTTCCAGGTGAGGGGTGATTTGCGCTTCTGCGGAGAGGTGAGCGGGTCGGAGCAGAGGTTGTGTGGCCTTTGAGTCGACTCAAACGACGGGGTGTACCTGGAGAAGGCTGTCGCGCGCCCGCGCCACGTGGAGTTCCAGGTTAGCCGCGAGCGAGCCAGGGGGATCCCGCCACGTGGCGTTCCAGGTGAGCGAGATACAAGAGGTATCCGCCACGTGGCGTCCCGAGTAGGTCAAGGTGAAGCTAGCAGGGCAGGAGACATGAGGCATGAGGCTTGGTGCTTGCCAAAGCTCGGGAGTTGCAGCTGTTGCTGTAAGTAATGGCACTGTCGCTGTCCTGCTCTCTGCGACCCTATACTTTCTGCTCATTCTACTCATCCACTAGTACCCTCCCCACACCCGCTCATCCCGTCTGCGCCCCTCGTCCCTCCCCCACCTGTGCCAGCAAGTGCGGTGGACAAGCACAGCAGCCACCTCTACCCCCCCCCACTCTCTCTATTCCTCTTCTCCCTCCTCTCCCCTTGTCTTTCGTTTCCCCAACGTGGCCCCTCGCAGGTGCTGGCGGACAAGTACGGCAACGCCATCCACCTCTTGGAGCGCCCCTTCTCTCTCAATCCCTCCCCTTCCCCCTCCTCACCCCCCCCTCGTCCCCCCCCACTGCATCAGGTGCTGGCGGACAAGTACGGCAACGCCATCCACCTCTTCGAGCGCGACTGCTCCATCCAGGTACCCTCCCTGCTCTGCGCACGCCACCATGCCTGTGGGAGTGGAGGGTGTGAGTGTTGAGGGCGTGTGCTGTGTGAATGAGCATCTCAACACTCGCGCGCCCGGCACGCATGTGGCAAGCATCCAGTTGCTGCACTTGTCAATCTTATCTCACTCCGTGTGCCTGTCCGAACGTCCTTCCACACCTTCCCTCCCCACTGGTCCCATCCCCTCCCCATCAATCTCTCCTGCGACCCCTCTCTCTTCCTCTCCCCGTTCCCTTTTTTCCCCTCACGCTGCCCCTTTTCCCTTGCCTCCTGTCCCGTTCCCCCGCTTCCCCCCTCTCCCCCACCCCACCCCTCTAACAGAGGCGCAATCAGAAGATGGTGGAGGAGGGCCCGTCGCCCGCGCTGACCCCCGCCCTCCTCTCCCCTTGTCCCTCTCTCACCCTGCCTTCCTCTCTCTTCCCCACCCCCCCACCCCCCCCTCTCCCCCCACCACAGAGGCGCAACCAGAAGCTGGTGGAGGAGGGCCCGTCGCCCGCGCTGACGCCCGCGATCCGCAAGGCGATGGGCGACGCGGCGGTGGCGGCGGCGAAGAGCATTGGGTATGTGGGCGTGGGCACCGTCGAGTTCCTGCTGGCTGAGAACGGCGAGTTCTACTTCATGGAGATGAACACCCGTATCCAGGTGAGCGGAGGGGGGAACACGCACATCCAGGTAGGAGGGGAGGAGGGGCAGGAGGGGAGAGGGCGTGGGGGGGCAGGGTCGGGGGATGCAGGTGTAATGCACACGCGCATGCAGGTGTAATGGGCACAAGGATACAGGTGGGAAAAGGAACGAACTCTGTGGGTGAGAGATGAACACGCGAAATTCAGAAAAGGGAAATAGGGACACTTGGACAACAAGCAGGAATATCTCAGGGGACTGAGCACCCAATCTCCAGAGAACTAGCATATGCAGTCATATTCACATCTAATAACCAGGACTGGGTGTCTTCATACATCCTCCATAGTATGACATGTGATTCTGGCTACCCCCCTCTCACACTCTGGTGCCACACTGCCATCTCCCCCTCTTCCCCCCCACGCTTCCCTCCCCCCCCTCCCCGTGTGCGCAGGTGGAGCACCCGGTGACGGAGATGATAACCTCAGTCGACCTGATAGAGGAGCAGATCCGGGTGGCCATGGGGGAGAAGCTGCGGTACAAGCAGGAGGACATCACCGTGCGCGGCCACGCCATCGAGTGCCGCATCAACGCCGAGGACCCCTTCCAGAACTTCCGCCCCGGCCCGGGTCGTATCACCGCGTACCTGCCACCCGGAGGGCCGTTTGTGCGCATGGACAGCCACATCTATAATGATTACCTCGTGCCGCCCTCCTATGACTCGCTTCTTGGCAAGGTGCGTTGAGGACTCGCGTTGACTCGCTTGACTCGCTTCTCCGCAAGCAGCTGGCCGCCGCGATCAGCGGGGGTGTGCTGCTCATCACTCCTCTCACTGCTTTCTCACTCCATCCTGCCTTCTTACTCTCCTCTCTCCCCACTCTTTTCCTCCCTCCCCCCTCCTCTTCCCCCGCTGTGCTCCTCTCCCCTCCCCGTGACTCATCCTGCTGGCGAGCAGCTGATCGTGTGGGCGCCCACGAGGGAGAGGGCCATTGAGAGGATGAAGAGAGCGCTGCACGACACCATCATCTCAGGTGCGCCGCCCACTTCTTCCTTTTCCACCCTTACCATCTCTCGCATGCATTGTGTGCCCCTTTCCCCTTGTTACAATCATCTCTGGTACCACCACCACTGCACATTCCCCCCTCCCCCTCCACACCCAACCACCTCCATACCACTAAGTCCCATTCCTTCCATCATTCCAAATCCACCACCCCCTCCCCTGCCTCCCTCACTCACACCCTCCTCTCCCCCGAGTGTTGCTTGTCTACCCCCCCCCCCCCCCCCCCTCCCCAGGTGTGCCGACGACCATTGATTTCCACAAGCTGATATTGGACGTGCCGGAGTTCAAGGAGGGCAAGGTGGACACCAGCTTCATTCTCAAGCACGAGGAGGAGCTCTCTGTTGTAAGTGCCCTGCCCACCCCCCTTCCTCTGCCCTGACCTGACCTGTCCCTCCCTGCCCTGCCCTGCCCTGCCCTGCCCTGCCCTGCCCTGCCCTGCCCCGCCCTGCCCCGCCTTACCACACCCTCTTCCACCCTGCCCTGCTCTTCCCGTCTCTGCCTGATGCCCAGTGCCTTTCTCTCAGCTATCCTTTGCCCTCCCAACACATCTCTGTCCACCCCTTCCCAACCCACCCTGCCCCCTCCCTGCAGCCGCCCACGGGCAAGAAGGTGCAGCTCAACTCCAAGAGCAAGCCCAAGGCCCTCGCCTAAGCGCCCCTTGGCTCTGCCTCGCTCTTGCCTCGCCACGCCTTGGGCAGGCAAGCGAGCAATCGCTGTGCTTGCTACGGTATAGGTGCTCTTGGTTTCCTCTGCTCTTCTTGAACTGCGATTTTGATTATCTTTAGGATGAGAACTGCAATCCAGTATAAGAGTAGCTCTCAATTACAATAAAGCCGAGATAACCAAATTGCTGTGTGGACACCTTGTAGAAGGATGAGTTACAATTGTGATATAGAGCAAACATGAAAGCCAGGCTCCCAGATTGGCTTGGGGCACATATTGGATGTGAGGTGCAGTACATTAGGAAGTCAGTCACTGTTATTTCCTTTACCATGACTGGCTGGAAAAACAGCCTGGCAAAAAAAAGGCTGGAAAAAGCAAGAGTCAGCATAAAAGGCTATTTCTATGGCTGCTTTTAAAACTACCAATAAATACTTACTAAATTTGGCAAGACACACAAAACAGGCACAGTAGTCGAGCACGGAGTTACGTGCACACTCCTGGAGGGAGACGAGCAACAGGAGAGACAGAATGAGTGCAAGGGGGTGTAGAGGAGGGAGAGGCAAAGGGATGAAGAATATGCGTGAGAAGCAGTGGCAGAGAGAGGGGGTTGGGAAGGGTGCAGTGACGGGGCAGGAGGAGCAACAGCGATGGGGATGAGAGGACAGTGCACTTCTCTTTCTGATAGCCGCATTGTCTCACATGCCCAGACAGCCGTGCACACATGCCGCTCCTCCTGTGCTGCCTCACACTCATGCCTCACCTCCTGTGCTACCTCCCAAGAATGCCTCAAACCTGCCTCACACACGCCTCACCTCCTGTGCTGCTCATCGAGTCCTCCTGCACTTGCTCTGCTGTGCCCCTCCCCCACGCCCCACTCTGCCCTCGCCCCCCACACCGCTCCTCTGCGCGCCTCTCTGTGGACCGCCCCACGGCCCACAGCCGCCGCGAGGGCGACGAGGTCCACCCGCTGCTGCCCTGCCTGCCCTGACTGCTCCGCCGCACACCCGCTGCCGCTGCTGCTGCCTGAGGGACTGCAGCATCTGACTGTTTGCCCCTGTGCTGCTGCTGCTGCTGTGGGTGCTGGGGTTGGCTGGGGTGGGATGGGGAGCGGCGAGAGGGAGAGAGGAAGCGAGTGAGCAAGCCCAGGGCAGGGCTCGACCCTCCACTCGCACTCCGCGGGCTGCTGCTGCCGTGAGGGTGGCGGGGCGAGTGCAAGAGTGCAGGGGGGGCGTGCGAGTCAGAGGACGGAGAGGTGGATGAGAGAGTGCGACCGGGGACACGCATGTCCCTCCCCACTACCCTTCCCTGCTCCATGCCCCCGTGCCACACACCACCCTCACCGCTGCTCTGCTGGGCCCCTGCCGCCTCTCCCCCCTGCTGCAAGGTCCTCTCCCTCACCAGCACGCGCACGGGCAGCAGCGACTGCAGATGCCGCTCCCCTGGCTCCACTGGCACAAGGCCTGGCCTTGGCCCACCTCTCCCTGCTGCTGCTGCTGCTGGGGCTGCTGCGGGCGCTGCTGCCTTTGCAGTCTTCTTGAGCTCCCTGGTGGGCCCTTCCGGCACATTGCCACTCCTCTCTCGCAGCACCACTGCCGATCTCTCCCCACCAGCACCGCCATTCCCCTCCTCCACGCCCCTCCCACCCTGCCTCACGTCCCTCCCTTCAATCCCACTCCCCTGCCACCCTGCCTGCCGCCCATCCGCCTGGCTGCCAGCACCAAACTGCCTGTGAGCCGCGCCCACAAGGCCCCTGGCAGCAGCAGCAGCGGCGTCTGTCAAGCGAGCGGGAATGGCGGCACCGTAATTACCACCGCCGCTGCCCGACATGTTGCTGCCGTCGTTGCCACTCCTCCCGCTGCCACTCTGCTCACTGCCACTCTCTCGTATGCCTGCAAGCCCCCCCCGTCTAGCCTCTGCCTGGCCTTCCCCCACGCGTGCACCACCCCCTCCCTGCTCCGCTCCCTGTGCCACCCCAGCATCGCCCCCACCCGCCCCTCTCCCACCATCAGCGCCAGCGCCAGCGGCAGTGGCAGCGGCAGTGGCAGTGGCAGCAGCGGTGGCAGGAGTGGGGGCGAGGAGAGTGGAGGAGGTGGAGCGCAGGGCGGAGACGCGCGAGCGCAGGGCTGCCACACGCTGCTTCAGCGCCGAGGGGGGCTCCTCTCCCGCCCCCGCCCCTGCCCGCCCGCCCTCCGCTGCCTGCGCCTGTGCCCCTGCCCCTCCTGTGGAACCCCGTGTCCATCCAATGCTCGCACCACCAGAAAGAGCACCAGCGGGAGCAGCGCCAGCAGCAGCAGCGCCAGGCCCCTCTTGACGCCCCTCGAGGGCAGCACGAGCTGCTGCCCCGCTGCATACCATCCTGCTGCTTGCGCCTGCCATGGCTTCTGGCCTTACCACTGCTGCTGCACCGCCCCTGGCCGACCCACTCCCAGTGTTGCTTCTGCTCCCCCCACTGCTCTCCCGCTTGCCCTCTCCCGCGCTCCCACCCATCCGTGCCTGCTGCTGTGACTGCCGCACCTGCTCCGAGTCCACCTCATCCTCCACGTCATCCGCCACGTCATCGTCGGCAGTGCAGCACACGCCATACGAGCGAGCCTGTGAATTCAACCCTGCCCCTGACCCCGCCCCTGCACGTGACACAGGGCGCAGCACCCATCCCTGCTCCGTGCACTGCTCCTCCCACTCCTCGTCCACCCCACTCATTCCACTCATTCCACTCATGCCACTCGTACCACTCGGTTCGCTCCCCCCACTCGCGGCGCTCGCGCCTCTCGCCTCCTCTGCCTCACCGCGCGCCCCCTCTTCCCCACGCGCCACCTCTTCCAGCACTACCACGCGCTGATGCTCCGCCACCCACGGGCCCGCCCCCCCCTGATGCGCCCCGCGCTGCGCCGTAGCCTGCATCGCTCCCTCCACGTCTCCGCCCATCCCGTCCCCGCCCTCCCCGTGCTGCGCGCGAGCCTCCCCCTCTCCTCTCAGCCCAACGGCCACCGCCTCCTCTCCGCCTCACCCTGCCCCCACTTGCGCCCCCGCGCGCTCGTCTCTTGCCCTCCCCGGATACTTCACACCCCGCCGCCCTTCTTCCGCGCTCTCTCCCACGCGCGCCCCCCTTGCCCCCAGAGCCCCCGCAGCCCTCCCCATCACATGCTGCAGTGCGCTTCTCGCGCCCCCCGCGTCCCCCACCCCTCGGCTTGCGCCCGCGTCCGCTCTCGACGACGAGAGGCTGCGGCGGCCGCGCATGGGAGAGAAGGTTCGGCGAAGCAACACGCCCGACTCCACGGCTGAAGCGCCCTGCGCGCCGTGCGAGCCACCCTTCCCCTCGGCCCGTACCGAAGCCGCATCGCTCTCGTTCCGCGTCTCCGCGCCTCCCCTACCGCCCGCCGATCGTGCCGCCTGCCAAAACTTGTTGCCGCCGTCGCTGGCTGGCCGATAGTGCGCGCGGAGCTGCGGTTGCTCCGCAATGGCGTACGAGGGTCTGCGGCGGCCGGGGGAAGCGCCGCTGCTGCAGTCGGACTCAGAGTCAGAGGGGGAGGCGGAGGAGGCGGAGAGCGCGCGAGCCACGGCCGAACTGCCGTTGGTGACGGGGGAGCGAGCGCCACTGCTGCCGCCGCCGCGGCTGTCGCGCTGCCCCTCCCGCGGCGCTCCGTGACTGGCGCCGGGGGCGGGAGGGGCGCGAGTGGGAGGCGCACGGCTGGGGGGGCCATGGGGAGTGGCGGAAGTAAAACTGCTGCTTCCGCCGCTCGCGACCGCCCACCTTGCCTCGCCCGCATCTTCCCCCTCGTCGTCCGCACCCGCCGGTACCCTGCCATCGCCTCCCCTCGCCTCACTCCCCGCACTGCCTCCCGTGCCCTCCGCGCCAGTCGCCTTCCCCATGCTATCCACTTCCGCCCACTCCGCTTCCCGCTGCGGCCCTCCGCGCGCCCCCTTCAGCGCGGGCCTGGCGGCCTCAAGCAGCGCCACGGCGCGCTCAAGATCCGCGCCGAGCGAGTTCACTGCGGAAGGGGGGCGACGGGTTGATGCGTAGAAGAGAAGAGTGAGAGTGGTTGAGGGGCTAAATGGAAGGGCAGCGAGAGCGAGGAGAGAGAAGCGAACGACGCCAAGTGCGGTGGCATGGCAGGTGGCGGGTGAGAGCTGCGCTGCCATTGGACAATTCTCGCATATGGCAGCGCAGACGAGCGCAGTGCACGGAGCACCGCGCGCAGAGCAGCCGAGGGCGGGCGTACCTTGGTCGTGGAGCTGCTCGATGGTGTCGCGCTGCTCATCCGCCTCCGCGCGCATGCGCGCGCTCTCCTCCTCCCACCGCTGCTGCCGCTCCTCCATCGCCCCCTCCGCCTCTCGCCTCGCCGCCTCCTCCTCGCCCACTCGCTGGTGCAGCTGCTTCACCTGCAATGCATGGCAACACATAGTGACACCCGGCAACAGACGGTAAGACACGGTAACACATGGTGACACGGTCACCACATGGTGACGCCCTCACCCGCCCTCTCTCGCCCTCACCTGCCCCCACTCGCCCCTACTCGCCTGGTAGTGCAGCAGCGGCGCAGCGGCGGCGGCGGCCTCCATGTGGCGCCACGCGGAGAGCGTCTTGGCGAGCAGCCCAAAGAGCGCCACGTCCAGCACGCGCGCGGGGCTGGCGCAGCTGCGCAGCAGCACTCCGCCCTCCACCACGCCCTCCCTCCCCCAGCTCCACCCGCCCGCGCTCTCCGCACTCCCGTCGCCCGCCTCCCCTGCTTCCGCGACCCCCTCCCCTACGGAGTTGGCGGGCAGAACCTCCCAGGTCTCCGCGTCGCCCACGGACCTGCGCGCGCACACGGCAAACAGCGGGGCGGTGAGTGGAACGTGGGGTTTGACGAGCCGTGCGACACATGACGCACTTTAATCGCCCCTTTACAAATATGCGATTTCCACTTCCCTCCCCCTTTCCCACAGCCCCTGCTGTCCCCCCCGTTCCCCCCACGCGGCGCTCACCAAGTGCGGAACGAGTCGCGCTCTCCGGGCAGCAGCGCGGCGGAGAGGCAGCGCCCGTCGGCGGCGAGGGAGCGCAGCGCGATGCGGGCGGGCGCGACGACGAGCAGCACGAAGAGGCAGTCCAGCGGCCAGCGGCCCAGCCCTCCCGTCAGCGACGCGCACACAGCCAGCGACGCGGCGTGGGCGGAGCGGCGGAGCGGGTCGGCGGGTGAGGCCGCGAGGGGGTTGGAGCCGTCGTCAGCGCTTGACGGCGTCGGCGTGCCCAGCTCCCACCTGCCGGCCAGCCGTCAGTGGATGGCACGGGGCAAAAGGGAGGCGGGATAAGGGGAAATCTACGATTAGATCGAATGAGTCGGAAAAGCGGCCGTGCCTGCAAGTGCTGTCACTCGGCTTCGTAGGCGTCAGAAAGCAGAGCGCACGCGTGTTCGTCTGTCCCACGCGGCACGGCGTGACGTCTGGCGGACGTACCTTCCTTGATAGCGCATGGCCGCCAGTCGCGAGGAGCCGGCCAGCAGACACACGAGCGACCCGTGCTGCAGTACCGACAGCGGCAGCCGTGTCACCGCGGGCGTTCCGAACGTGGCGGAAGAATTGGCGGTGGGGGCAAAGGGCGGTAGGGAAGCGGAGGAGGCAAGAAGCGGAGCGGATACGGGCACGCCAAACACGAGACCGCCTCGCGGGACATCGATTGCGCCCGTCAAGGAGTTGTGGAGAGTGGGCGCAGACGCAGGCGAGGCGTGGGAGAGGGGAGGAAAGAGGCGGTGGTGCGAGAGGGTGGCATCGCTGCTCCCATGAGTCGATGCGTGCAAATGATCATTGGCGCTGGCACGTGCACGGCGGTCGTGAGAAGCTTCGCCATCGACGTCGTCGTGGTCGTGCGCGAGGCCCAGCGCGCGCTTGCCCGGGTCCATGAAGCTGCACTGCAACATGTCGTCCGTTAGTAACCCCGCCAACCGCACCGCCGCGCCCTCGTTCTCAACTTGGTCTTTAATCTCCCCCTCCCCCTCGCGCACTCCCGCCCTCTCTCCCGCCGCCTGGCTCTCCCAATGCTCAGCGTCGCTGCGTGCAGGCACGTCGTGCGGCAGCACGGGGTGTCCCATCACCAGGATGCCAATATCACGCCCCGCGTCCTCCGGCCCCTCTACCTCAAGCCCCTCGTCTCGCGTGCCCCACTCCTCTCCCACGGCGGCCCCCAACCCGTCGTGCAGGAAATCTGTTGCTTTGCCTCCTTCCCTCATAGCCCCCACTGGGTTATCGTTCGTCGTCTCTCTTCCTTTCCTCTCGCGTCCCTCCTGCCCCCTGCGCGCGCCCTCGACTCTACTTTCGCATTCGCTGTCGGACGAGCTGTCCGAACTCGCCGCTGCCTTGTCGTCCGCGCGACGCTCAGCTGCGCTTCGTCGCTGCGGCCAACGCGTCCGTGCTTCTCGCGTGCTACCTAGTTGGATCGAACGGTTCCGATCCACGTTCGCTGATCGGTGGCGCGCTATTCTTTCTAGCGAGTGATCGCGCGCCGCCGCCCTGACTTCCTTGTCCTGCTGTCGAGCACGTGCCTCTCTGCTCACCCGTCTCGTCTCAAGCGACTTTCGCCGTGGGATCTGCTTTCTTTGCTCCGCTGCCTCCACGCGCTCCTCGCTCGCCGCGTCCGCCTGAAGCAGCTGGTGAAACAACCAGGGAACATTTCTGCTCTCGCTCTTCTGCTGCTTCCGCGCAACCAACCCCGATGATTGCCGCCTCGTTTCATGCGCTACCAAGCCGGCGGACTCCTCCTGCACGCGCGGCGACGGCAGAGGCAGCCACACAGCGCTTGACCGCCCCACCGGCTGCTCCGCTGCTGCCCCCCCAACGTCCATGTCGAGGTCTACCGACTGAGCGGACGGTTGGCCGTCTGAGCTGTGAGACGGAGACGCCGGCAGGAGGCCGGGCGGTGTGACATCGACAGGCGGGCTGCCTTTGCGCATGAGCCACGACGCTGCCTTTGCCAAGGATGGCGATGGTCCCGCTGGCTCCGCTGATGCGTTCCATGCTGCTGCCTGCGCGTCCGTTATAAGATTGCAATAGCGGCTCTCCTCGTCCGAGGCAGACATCACGCCGTCTCTTTCTCGCTGCGGAGTCTCATAATACCCCGATCGCGAATCAAATGAAACGAAATATCCGTCGTATCTACCTGACTTATATGCTGCTGCCATCGCGTCCAAATCTACTGAAACATCGAACAACAGAAGCAAGCTAGGAACCCTGATCTTCTGAGACAAAACAGAGTGAAAGTGGGAACAAGCTGGGTGGTGGCCTTTGAAACCGTGGAGCCTTGCAAATGGAACGGAGGAGCTCAAGGGAGAAAGGAAATGTCTGACTCCTGAGATTTCACCTCGCCTCGACGTTAAAGCCCGCGGCCTAAATTGCGGGCCGCGCGGGTCAAGCTTTTAAAACTTGACGAACTAGTGTTTGCAAGGTTTTAAAAAAAGCGCGCCTGCAATTTGGGACTTTCGGGGACTGAACCAACTCCCAGGGCGAAATAACCGAAATCGATAACGTTCGCCAAACCCCAGACCAGAAAAACCCCCTCGCGTCAAGCTTTTAAAAGTTGTGCAATTTGGGCTGCCGGCTTTAACATGTCAGGTTGCTTTCTGCCACCGCCCCTCTTGAAATTGAAGTTATAGACGAGGGAGGGTAAATGGTGAGGAGAAAGAAAGAAAACACCTAGAAAGAAAAGGTAAGATCAAAGTAAAACCAAGTTGAAAAGCAAAAACAAGTTGAAAGGAAATCTTGAAGTATGGAGTAATTAAGAATGAAGAAAGCTTTGAAGGAGAAGATAGATAGACTTGATAGGGATAAAAGGGACCAAACAAGATTGGCTGAAAAGAAAGTATTGAAGAAAAGGTAAAGGGCTTGAAAGATACTTGAAAGGAGCTTGTAACGAACTTGAGAATAAGAACTTGATTATTATGGAAAGAGCTTGAATATAAAACAACTTGATAATAGCAAATGAACTTTGATGTAAAAGAAACTTGGTGAAAAATGAGAGGAAGAGATAACCACTTACTTGAAAAGAGTTCTTACTATTATGTTGTAGAAGTTGATCTTCACTTCAAGCTTAAATGTTGTCTTAGTTGTTAATGAAGAACCTCAAAGCTTGAATGTTGAGAAGTTGATCTTGAATGTTGACTTGTAGATAATGTTTGTTGAATGAAGAGAAACCTCAAAACTTGGATGTTGAGGTTGGAGCTTGGACCTTGGGTAGAAGAATACACCAATCTTGCTTGAAGCTTTAAAGTACATTAATCAAAAGGGAGGTACATGGTAGGATCTTGAGATCAACTATCCTTGATGATCTAGAAGTAAAACTATGTGGCACAAACTTCTCTAGAATTGGAGCATATGGCTATGAGCTTGGGTTGGGAGAGGTTGGTGGTGATGATGAAGCCTTAGGAGTTGGAGCATAAGGAGGAGGACTTGAGGTTGGCCTTGAGGGAGCTTGAAGAACTTGTTGAGAGTTTGGGTATGAAGTAGCATTGAAGAATATGAGTTTGAAGAAATGAAGAGGACCCTTTTGTATTTGGTGGAGCTTGATGTTGGATGAAGGATGAGGAAAGGATGAATGGTTGTGATTGGTTGAGTTGGATAAGATGGGGGTGATGAATGTGGCCTTGAAGTGAAGGCTTGGTGAAGAGAATGAATGTGGCCTTGAAGTTAAGGCTTGGTGAATGGGATGTATTTGGCTTTGATTTTAAGGCTTGGTGAGTGGAATGAATGTGGCTTGGATTGGAAGGCTTGGTATGGAATCTTTTGTTTGATTGGTGGATAATGGGATGAGAAAGATGATGAGGATAGGAGGAGAGTTGAGGTGGAGGATTGATAGGTTTTGATTGGTAGGTTTTGCGGTCTGGAGATAGGAAGGGTGTGGTGGCGAGTGGGCATTTTTGCAAGATGCCTTTTGCATATTCGGATTTTGGCTGACGGGGAAATTGCGGCGAAAAATTTCGCCACGTGAAAAATTTCCCGCCACCCTGGTGCCACGCGAGCAGCAGCCACAGTTCACTGCAACACCCCCCCGCACTGCTGACCCTCAGAGCGAGACGAAGAAGGAGCGGAAGGGACAGCAGTGGAGAAGGACTCAAGAGACTCGAGCGGCACCAATCCAACACGGTGGCGTCCAAGGACGAATAGGTGCCGTGGAAGTATCTTAGTCAGAAAATCAGCAGCCTGGTCCGTGGTGCTGCAGTAGACCGGTGTCACAACCTTGTTCTTAATCAGCTCCCGAATGTAGTGATACTGGGTATCAATATGCTTGGTGCGTCCATGATAGACCGGGTTCTTGCTCAAGGCGATTGCCGACGTGTTGTCAATGTGGAGAACGGTCGGCTCAAGCTGGGGAAGACCCAACTCCATCAGCAACCCTCGCAACCACACAGCCTCTCTTGCTCCTTGCGTCACAGCCATGTACTCCGCTTCCGTTGAAGATAGTGCCACACAGCCTTGCTTCTTCGATTGCCAAGAAATCGCTGCTCCCGCCATCACAAACATGTAGCCTCCCGTGGATTTACGCTTTGAAAATGGACCTGCCCAATCCGCATCCGTAAAGTCATGCAAGACACTACCATGCTCATGTTCATGAAAGAGGAGACCAAATGATTTAGAGCCGGAGAGATAGCGCAGGACACGCTTTGCAGCGTTCAAGTGCTGAGTAGATGGTGAGGAAAGGAATTGAGAAAGCATGCCCACAGCTTGAGAGAGATCTGGGCGGGTGCAGACGGATGCGTACATGAGGCTACCGACAATGCTCTGGTAAAGATTAATGTCGAAGGGGGAAAGGAGTGATGAGGGAGGTTCGGTGGAAGAAAAAATGGAAGAAGAGGATGAAGGCGCAAGAGCCTCGTGAAACTCGTCCCAGTCAGAAAGGGGTGCAGACTGAGAGGGCTGAAGGTCAGAAGTGGAAGGAGAAGAATGCTGGAAGTTAGAAGGGAGAGGTGTAGATGCAGGATTGCAGGTGAGAAGGCCGAAGCGAGAGAGGACCTTGTGAATGTATCGCTCTTGTGAAAGAAATAGAGAGCGAGAAGGACGGTCACGAATGATGTTCATGCCAAGGTAATATGATGGCTCACCCATGTCTGTCATGACAAACTCCTTGGTGAGCATACCTTTGATGTGGGTGAGAAGGGAGAGAGAACCTGACACCATGAGGATGTCATCCACATACACGATCAACCACAGTACCTCATGCACCTCCGTGTGCAGGATGTAGAGTGCAGGGTCATACTCAGACTGGGTGAAACCTTGTGCCAGCAGGGCAGACTCCAATGCGTGATACCAAACCCGTGGAGCTTGCTTCAGGCCATACAGGGACTTGTGCAGCCTGCAGACTCTCTCAGTACCATCATGATACCCATCAGGTTGAGCCATGTAGATTTCTTCCTCTAAAATGCCGTAAAGAAAGGCGTTGGAGACGTCCAGCTGGATGATGTAGAGATCCATTCGTACTGCCATACCAAGAAGAGCGCGGACACTGGTGAACTTGGCGACCGAAGCAAATGTTTCATTGTAGTCTTCTCCAGGAACTTGAGAATATCCTTTGGCGACCAAACGAGCCTTGAACTTGTCCAAAGATCCATCACCCTTCACATTCACCCGGTAGACCCATTTTACTCCCACGAGCTTCTTTCCCTTGGGTAGTGGCTCCAAAGTCCAAGTCCCCCGGTCGAGTAAACTTTCCAGTTCTGCCTTTTCCGCTGCTAACCACTGCTCCTTAAAGGCTCCTGCCATAGCTTCTTTGCGATTGAGAGGCTCGGGTGGAAGTTGGGAAATGGCGAAACAGGTGGCGTGAATCCTGCATTGGAAGCAGGTGCGACCACTACACAAATGACTTGGAGGTGAGGTGAAAGTGGACACCGGCACATGAGAGGTGAAGTGCGCAGATGACGAAGTAGAAGATGAAGATGGTGCTGCAAAGTGCGACGTGCTCATCGCTGGTGGGTAGTTGATATCGATCCGGTTGGGTGAGGGAGGTGGTGCTGCCGGTTGAGAATGGTCTTCTGATGAAGTTCTATCAGGCGGAGTTGTCGAATGCAGGTGTTGGAGATGGGAAGATGTGTGCTGTTGTGTTGGTGGTGGCTGCACGGTTGACGGTACGGGTTGAAGATGGTCTGGAAGGTGAAGAAGGGCTGCTGGACGATAACCACTGGGTCGATGAACGACGAGAGGTGGAAGTGATGGGTGAAGAGAGTGAGAGCCAGGAGGATATTGTTGTTGCTGCTGGTCCTGCTGGTGAGTGGGGGAAGATTGAAGAGGAGGAGGTAAATCGGGTGGAGATGGTTGTTGTTGCTGCTGAAGCGAATTAACTGGGGGCTGAGGAGGAGGATGAGAGGAAAGAACAGGTGGAGCGGTTGACTGGTTTGGTTGTGATGGAGGTGGTGGCGGCTGCTGCTGCTGTTGCTCTTGGTGATGAGGGGTGGGAGCAGAAGATGATGGCAGTGGTTGTTGGTCTTGAGCATGAGACATGTCTTCGTGTTGCTGCTGCGGTGATGATGCAGAAACTCCACTTAGAATGATTGTTGGAGGTTCGAAATTTGCAAAGGTAGAGAAGGGAGGAACTTGAGAGGAAACAAGAGGAAAAGAAAGTTTCCAAGAAGAAGGGGACATGTCTACATAGAAGATCACGTCCCTTGACACAATGTCTCTTTTTAGGAGAGGATCCCACATTAACCAGCCCTTACTTTCCTTGGCCATGCCCAGATGCATGCCCCATGCTGCCTTACTTTCAAACTTGCTGCGTTTGTCATCTAGCACTTTGTACTGGCCCATGCAGCCAAATACTCGCAGCATGGACACATTTGGCTTTATGCCATATAATGCCTCATAGGGTGTAATACCCTCAGCAATGGAGCTTGTCAGTCGACGATTCTTGACCCAAGCAGCATGTGTAACAGCTTCTCCCCACCATGAGTCATCCAGATTCATGTGGGAA